CCTTCGCAGTCCTCAACGAGGACAGCCCAACCCGGCTCCCGCCCAACGGTGCTCCCAGATCTCTCGATGGTTCCCTCGCCAGTCTCAGTCTGGCAGTCTTCCCCACGTGGAGCACGGAAATCATCCTAGGGAGGGATCACCTCCCCATAGTGCTCGAATTAACCACCGCCACCGACTGTATTAAGGCTCCAAACAGGCACAGGCCAGAAAATTGGGATCCCTTTCGGATTCAACGTCCTTATGACGTTAGAGATACGTCCAGTCGTTTGACTGCTGCTTGCCAACCAAGAAACCACGTGCTGTCAAACTGGTGTACTGCTTCCTATTCTCGAGTTTTGCGCTGCCGTGTAACTCTGCCTTCCTGCTCTAGGAGTGCCGTCTTCGGTAATGAATCGACTTTTTTAAGCAGACTTCAGCTGCTTTGGCCTCCTCTTCCGCCTGAGTCTTATCTGTACGTACAGCCATCTTAATCATCATTCTGTCATGTTACTTGCTTAAAGCTACTACCATGCATAGATTTAACATATATTGTCCTGCCTTTAAGAGTGAATCTACTATGGTTGTCTCAACCTTGTGACCTGGACCTTTGACATGGGTTCCCTGGCAGTTAGATGAAATCTGAGAGAGCTCAGTTTCTCATTTCTATTTTCGACCCCTTCAAAAGACAGTATTTGTCACAGGACTGTCTGGAGACGAATCATTTTGAAGGATTCATTGTTTGAAGGGTTATTTTAACGATGAACATAATGATCATCAAGGAATTTCGCCCTACACCTCTTTGAAGACATCCGTAACGCAGTAAATGTTAACTTTTGTGGATTATTTACCGTGCACTGGTGAGCTTCATGAAAACTTCTGGATTTATCCAATGTAATTTCCGTTTTTTCCCAAATTCGCCTAATGCTCAAAGGAGGCAAGAAGAGCTTTACATGAATACATTTGCCATTTATTGCAGTAAGGTGTTCTTTCAAGCATATAGAATAGGCTAAATAGTTTTGTGACGACTTTAATTAATTAGTTGACTACCCATTTTTGAAGAACTATGCCATTTTCAGAGCCTTAACAGAATGTGTAGTCTTTAATGCAGTCATCTCTCTAGCTAACCGGAGTCTGGTTAGTGTGCTGCCTGATTTGAGGCCTTGCCTCTTCAGTCGTCAGTTCGAACCCTGACAGGTTATTTCCAATAGGACAGTAAATCTTATATTGCAGGGATTTCAGTGATTTATCTGGAAATCGTGTCCACCAGACAATCTGAAAGCCTAC